AGACGGAGGCCAGGATCCCCTTGCAGGAATGGAATCTTTCGTCTTGAACTAGAATGACGACATCGCACCACTTGGACCCCGTTCTAAAACTGTCGGAAATGTTGGTCGCAAGGCCATTGTGATCGTCTAAGTCCTTGTCGATCACAATCATTTCATTATTCTCGGCCGCAGTCGCCATTCTTCTTGGCAGAAGGATTTTTCTCGTCTTCCTGGTTTAAGTTACCGGAAGTCCTGTCTGATAGACACAATGAAGATGCGGATAATATTGTGATGATAATAAAATATCTCCAGATCTGTGGCACCTCTGAGAAACTGTAAGAGCACAGAACTCAATATGCGCAGAACTTGGAGAGAAACGCGCAACAAACGAGGACACTCGGAGGTTCTCCAACATCTGAGAAACCCACTTGAATATTGGAATGTGAGATTAGATAACTGGCGCGGCTTATAGTCATCAGATTCCCTTTGACATGCATAAGCTTTCACGGCTGTTTTCAAGGACGTTCAGAATTTCAACACGGCATCGATTTTCCCTCGGAGCAAAGATTATTTTGGCACTCGCATTTTGGCAAACCTCAATTCAAAAATAGTTTCTGATTTATTTGCACATGCGAGTCTCGCACAGGAGTGAGCTTAACATATCCCGACGAGAAAAGTCTGCGCGATTCCGTGCTAAATCACAGCGCAAAAATTTGTTGTGTGTGTTACCCTGGAAATTCTTTCACCTCTCCTCCGGATCAGGATTTCGACTTATCCCTTCTTTCAACCTACGGTACCCTTAAGAATTATAAATAGTATATTTTTTCTGTTTCAGGATTGCTTGAAAGGAAAAAAAAAACAGATGAATGTGTCGCACATCGCAAGTGGTCCGAGGTAACAATAGTTCGCGCTGAAGATTGTTTTGCACGAGAAAAAATCGTTTTAAGGTCGGCGGCTGATTCTCTTCAGAAGAAGCATATAGACCGATTTATGTGACAAATGGAATGATTCCCTACTGAAATAGCTTTGTTCTTGTTGTCTCTCGAAGGTGTCCAGGCAGTGTGTTTTCCACAACTATAGGGAAGTATCCATATATTTTGCACGGATCACATTCAAACCTGACAGTATTTTCCAGAGCAGCAAAGTCTTCGCAGTTATTATTTCAAGCGGCCACGCGGGATAGGATTGGTTTCATGATGGGAAATGAAGATAAATGGCAGTTTCTTAGTGCATTAAAAATTACTTTCGGTGATGATGGAGAAAGTGGCACCACTCGGTCGGGACACGTCTTCTCGGAAGAATCTACCTTTTTCTCACTTGATCATTCGACAAGCTCTCTCGCAACTGACCAGATCATATCTCCCCACAACATCCCAATCGGTTCCATCGAACACTTCCACCGAGGCATTCCTCGCCCCTCCAACAGCATGCAGCCTTCCGTCTAGGGACACGAGACCGTGGTTCCACCGTCCTTCCTTCATGCTTGGCATCTCCAGCCACGCGTTTCCTCTCCCGTCGTATGCGTAGACCTCCTTTCTCGCTCTCCCCTCGGCATATCCCCCGGCCAGGACGAGGTCACGATCTCGCGGTACGACAGCAAGATTTCCTCTGCTCTGAGGGAGCTGAGCCAGCTCTTCCCACTTGGACGTCCGGAGATCTAAACGCTCGTATTTCGTCCCATTCGGAGACCCACCGACGAGGTGGAGGCAGGAGTCGTGATAGCACGCTCCTGCCTCTTTCCTTGCGTATTTCATATCGCTCAATCGCACCCACTGACCCAACTCCACCTGAAAAAAGGATGCCCACTTCTCATCTCGTATCACGTTGAATCCCCGGAACGGCCACCTTTTCTCCTCCGTTTCGTAGGACCCGCAGCAGACGATCAACGATTCGCGGGTGGCGACTGCTGCGGGCCAAATGAAATAGATGGGAGGCTCCGGCCCCTCTTCCCATTTCCCCTTGTCCACGTCGAAGATGTTCATTTCGCCGTATCCGGCCAAAAAAAGTTTTCTCCCGATTCTCGCAAAGGCTCGGCCAAAATCCCCTTGTGGATATTGAGTGACCTCGCTGAAGTTCATGTTATTTCCGTTCATGCGGTACACTTTCCTCTCACCGTTCTTATGTCCCAGACACCAAAACTTGTTGGAAAGGAATTCCCGTACCATTGTTTTGTCCTTGGGGACGGTATGACGGAGCTCGGAAATATGGTAATCCCTTGCATCCGTGATGGCACCGAGGCTTCTCGGATCCTCGCAGATGTCAGGGTCCTTCAGAAGCACCGTCTTCAAGTAATCATACGGCAAAAGCGGCAGACGTATCTTGTCGAGAAGATCCGGCAATCGACGCCTCCGCCTCTCATCGCGACCCACCCATTTCCTCATCGCCTCGTAAACCCCCAACTCGGAGTCGACTTCCAATTCGTCTCGATCCAAGAAAGTCGCCAGCGCTTCGAAAGAGACGCTCAAAAAATCCCTCGCGTCGACGATTTCGCTGAAACGGACCGAGATATAGCCGATGGCAGCTTCCCGCAACTCCTTGCTGCCGCATTCTTCGGCAGCGTTGAGAATGCGAAAGGCATTGACGGGATTCAGCATCGCCCGGATGATGTTGCTCATTTTCCCGCAGAGGCGCTTGAGCCCGAGGGCATGAGCATCTCGAAGAGCGGCCAATGCCCCTTCCTCCCCTTTCACTTCCATTCTAATCCCGTGGATGTAATCCCAAGCCGGCCTGAATCCGATCTTAGTGAAGCGTCCCAGCTCGATCTCCCGTCGCGAAGAGTCCTCGAAGTCGGCGGAGAATAATTGACGGAAGTAGGGGGAGACGGAGGCGAGGATCCCCTTGCAGGAATAGAATTTCTCGCCCTGAATGATAATGACGACGTCGCACCAACCAGGTCCCATCCGAAAACACTCGGAAATGTCGATCGCAAGGCCATTGTGATCGTCCAAGTCCTTGTCGACCACAATCACTTCATCATTCCGTGCCGCAGTCGCCATTCTTCCCTTCGGCAGAAGAATTTCCTCTTGGTCCCAGTGGTCCAGTGGTCCGGTGGTCCAGTGGACTTTTCCCGCAGGATATTATCTCGACGGGCCGGCGAATGAAAGCGTGTCGATTTCCGCCGCAAACCTCGTAGCAACACGGAACGCTATCACCGCAGAACTCGGAGAGACGCGCGTCACGCGAGGAAACACAACGACGAAGCCGATGGTACACAGAGGAATTCGAGATAAGATTACGAGCGCGACTCCACAGTCATCGGATTACCTTTGTCGTTCGTGAACCTTTACCTCTAATTTCAAGGACATTCGCGGTTTACCGATGGGAGAATGCCCATGGATAAAAACACGAAATATTTTGCGTGCTTACCCGAGAAATGACCTCATTCGATGAAAGTGTTCTACACCGGAAGGGTACTGAGTAGAAAATTAAAAAATTGTTTCGTGAACGAGCTAGGATTTTTTTTTCTGCTGAGAAAGAATGTAGGGGAGAGTGGGTCGTCACGGGTCACCATGAGTCACGGGTCGCCATGGGTCGCCATGGGTCGCCATGGGTCGCCATGGGTCACGCTGTTTATAGCTCTACCAGCTCTGCTTCTCTTCAGTCCCCACCCGAAGTGCAAATCGTGTGAACGTTTTTCCGTAGAATACCCTTTTTCCCCCGTTTTTGTTGACACCCAGTTTAAAATCCCAACTGGAATATTCCAGCTGGACTAAATCTGTAAATTCGGACCATTTCCAGCTGGCAAAGAGCTGGAAAATAGTAGATCCCGGTTGGTTTANAAATCTGTAAATTCGGACCATTTCCAGCTGGCAAAGAGCTGGAAAACAGTAGATCCCGGTTGGTTTATAGCTGGAGTTTTCCAACTGGAATGCAGCTGGTTTTAATAGCTATTTCCAGTTGGAAATTATAGCTATTTCCAGTTGGAAATTATAGCTATTTCCAGTTGGAAATTATAGCTATTTCCATCCGGGATTTTAAGCTGGGCAGCAACGTTTCCGCTACTCATTTCATTCGACGAATCGTTTCGATTCTTCCTGGAATTCTATTCGGGAGAACGGCTCCTGTTGAGGCGCGATGAGGCTCCTGTTGAGTCGCTCATTTTCGGCCCAAAGGGCCACAACTCACTGCGTCAATTGCTTTCCGATTAAAGTTTCTTAATGACGACTTTGGATTAATTATTATGATATTTGACGACCCCTCCCCTCCGAGTCGTCGTCTGATTCCCTTCACGAGAAACCAATTGGCAATTGGCCCAGCCGATGCTCCGCTCCCGCGCGATGCATCAGGCAATTCGCTCGCGACTCGCAGCGAAACGCGCCGCTCCGCGTTTCCGCCGTGAAATTCATCATGAATTTCATCTGCTCCTCATGAGATCTCATGAGCCACTCATGAGCCACTCATGAGCCACTCATGAGGTCTGTGCAGCAGGGTATGGAGGGGCTCACCGGCCTCCGTCGGAATTCCACAGGAATTTTACGAGCGTTCTCGAGATTTCATCAATAAAATTGTCTCATACCGGTTTCCTTCTGCTTCATCGATTAGTTGTAGACGGTAAACAACTTTGTTTTTGCGGCCTTCGAAGGCCGGATGGTATGTGCCGCGAATACCAATATAATTTCGGGCTTAGTTTTATTCCTTTTTTTTTATACACATTTAAAAATGGTTTTGGGGAAAACTTTTCCCTCGTCCTTCGCTCATGACCGACCTAAGCCGGCACGGAACACGGCACTCGCAAAGCAGACCGTCAATAAAATGCTGATGCTCGACCGAACGAAAGCGGACGAAACCCTGCGGCGCCATTCGAAACCCTGCGGCGCCATTCGAAGCCGTGTGGCACCATTTGAAGCCGTGTGGCACCATTCGAAGCCGTGCACGCTCGGATTCACTCGACGTGTTTTTTTAGTTTCTTCTTTTTCCTGGTTCTCGAGGGAGTCTCGCGTGCAATTCAATCCCTTTAAACATCGACGAGGAAGTTCCGCGAGAAAGTTTCGCAAAAAAAAACGGCAAAAAAAAGCGGAGTGCTAATTATAAGGCGTCTCACCGGCCGTGTCCCACAGCTGAATCGCCACGTTCCGGCCGTCCAGGTCGACCATCTTCGTGAAGAAGTCCACGCCTGCGGGATCGGGACGACAACTTTTTATTTATTTATTTTTACCAAACGTCGATGAATAAGTTTTTGCGGTATCAAATTTTTTTTTAGCTTTGCATCTCCGTCTCTCATCGGAATAGGCGGGAAAGAAATGGCAAAATTGCAACAAAAAAAATTCGTGAGGGTATTTAAATTTAAATTTAAATTCCTCCGTGCATTTTATTTTCATCTCTCGCGTTTTTTTGCGGAACGTGCAAAAAAAAAACTAAATTTCCCCGTGCCAAAATCAGATCGACCCGCTGATTTTCTCTGGAATATCTTGCTCGATTTTGCTTTCCTCGCTCTCTTTCCTCTCACAGATAATTTTTTTTTAATTCGAACGATTGGAAAAATTTGCAATGGAGCAAAAAAAATTGCTGGTGCCTTTTCGTTTTACATTGTGCAAAATTGACTCGTCCAGAATTCCATTCGAAAGCAAATCGCCAATCTTCGAGTATTGCACGTGCAAATATTTCAGTTTGGTTGGGACGCTTGTGCAATTCTCAGATCTCATTGGACCGTGAATTGGCAAGCATCGCGAGTTGGCACTGCTTTTTTTTTATGCGAGGGCCAATTTAGTTCGAAAGCGAAAAGTACTGAAGTACTGAAGTACCGTACTTGGATGGTACTCACCGAGAGTCGGACTGATGTGCTCGGGGAAGAAGCCACGACACGCCCTCGTGATGAAACTGGACTTGCCCACCGTCGCGTTCCCGGCGAGGACGACCTTGAACGTCCGGTCAGGCGGGACGGGCCGCTGGTCCCCGCCGCTCCTCGCCGCCCCAGACCGCTGGTCCCCGCCGCTCCCCGCCGCCCCGGACCGCTGGTCCTCCAAGTCCGTCAGGCTGTCCTGGCTCTGCAAGATTCCCCGGTCACTTCCGGAACTCAAAGAGAGAGAGAGAGGGAGGGAGGGAGAGAGAGAGAGAGAGAGAGAGAGGGAGGGATCCTCTGCAAAAAGGGTGGATGAAGCTTTGCGCAGGAGAGAGTGAGAGGGAAGAGAGAGAGAGAGGGAGGGAGAGAGAGAGAGAGAGAGGGAGGGAGGGAGAGAGAGAGAGAGAGAGGGAGAGAGAGAGAGAGAGAGAGAGAGATCCTCACTTGGCTTCCGTCGGGGAGTCTGTACGACAGCTCGGGGATGGAATCGAAGTCGGACTCCACGTCTCTCAAGCAGAGGCCGCTATCTGCGCGCGAAGGAAAAATCCAACTCATTCTTGGGCGGTAGAAATCTTTTAGTCCTGGGTCTCGTCTCCCAGTCTACGCCCAGGAACTAAAATATTTCTATGACTTTTTCGACTCTGCCCATGAGACAAGAGCCACCGGATAGTTGTTTTTTTTTTCTCGGAGTTCTATCAGATTTCGTCATCCTCTTTCTGATAAAAACGTGCGGACACCCAATTATTTGCGTATCGTACCTCATATTTCCCATGCTTCCGTTCTTACAGAATGAAAGAGAATGCAGGCAGGTACCAAGTATCCCCAGAGTACCCATCAAGTACCCATTGAGTACCCACTGAGTACCCATGGAGTACCCACGGAGTACCCACCGAGTACCCATTGAGTACCCACTGAGTACCCATGGAGTACCCATGGAGTACCCATCAAGTACCCATTGAGTACCCACCAAGCACCGATCAAGTACCCACCAAGATCTTCCATGAACCTGTCAAGAGGGAACCGATCCGGCGAGGACGCCTTCAAGTGTTGCATTTCCCTGAGGCATTCCCCCACCTCCTCCGTCTGGAGCCTCCCGACCCCCAGCTCCAGCTCCATCTCGAATTGCTCCTGGGAATGGCCCGGCCAGATGCTGGAATGGGGAGGTCGTGTGAGGTCATGCGAGGTCAGTCGAGTTTCGGGGGGGGGGGGGGGGGCGAGATTCGTGAAGAA